CTTACATTTGTAAAAGAATTGTTTAAACCAATGGGTCACCTACAAATTTTAAACAATGTTAAAAAGTGATATTATGAAAATATTTTAAAACAAAAAATTTTAAAGGTGCCACTAACAGAGGAGATAGATGATTAATAAAATTATAGATATTTCAGTGAAATTCAACTTAATAGTAAGCATTAGTTAGAAAGCAAAAAGGACAGAAATTGAAGCAGTAATTAAATGCCTCAAATGGAAACTCACATATGTGTAATGATTTAATACAGTTACTGAAATATCATGTGTATAGCACTGAAGAGGTGAAAATCAGACTGGAGAATGAAAGGCTTTTCAGTGTCAACAACAGAAAATTATTTTTCAAGATTCTTTGAAATATGTCTTAAATATATATCATGAACCCCCTAGAATCCTCACTGTCAAACATGCTTCTAAGTTCAAGAAAGCATTCTTGAAGGCTGAGTGATGTCATTAGTGTAAAGCACTTATATAGTATGTGCAAACCCTGGCTTCTAATCCCAGTGCCACAGAGCAAAATAAACATATATATTTTTGAGCCACCCTTGTCCTTTTTGTTCCCTAGAAACCTTATTAATTCAAACATACCCCTAAATTATGTTAACCTCTGAAATTTGAGAGACTCCAGGGAAGAATTGCAGTGTTCTTGTTTGATCCACTTGAGGACTTTGCAGTGGGGCAGACTGGCTCCCTGGCAAGGGCCTCTGCAGTGGCTAGAGATCAGCCTTAGAAGGAAGGGTCCTATACCCACTGCCATGAGCTGGTCTGTGGTGCTTCTTAGGCACAGTGTGCACACTACACAGTGATCTCACCTGGCTGATCCTCCAGTAGAAACACTCTGAGACAGTAGCTAAATGTTTCTTGAAAAGACAAGCCCAAGATGCTCAGAAGCCTCTACTTACTATGTTACATGACCATGCAGAGTTTGTTGTATGGAGGGACAAAGAATTGTATGTCCTGGAAAGATCAATGTGGAGAAAAGGAAAGCAACAGTCTCAAGAATGCAAAGGGTACTCCACAATGGGGTATTCTCTTCCCCTTTTGCCTTCAGAGGTCCCACCAAACACCCATAGAATGTTTTCTTCCATGAACCCTTTGCACTTTTGCAACAGTTGCAAAATTCAGAGTGGAGGGTTGGGGGTAGGGTTGGGATGGAATGAGGGAAGGTGTATGTGTGAGCAGGAAGCAATCCTTGAGAAGCAACCTCTTACAGAGTGTTGCTGGAGGGTTTCTCTCCAGGTTCCCCAAGCCCCACAGTCCCACAATCCACTTATAAAATAATCACTCAGACGCTTATATCACTTATAAACTGTATGGCCGTGGCAGGCTTCTTGCTAACTGTTCTTTTATCTTAAATTAACCCA